ACCGGAAGACGGATGCCGGCATCGGCCGGAGAAGATGGCCAGGGACGCTGCAGGGGACACATCACGTGAGCGCAGGACAAGGTAAGTGCTACAGGGAATCCCTGAGCAACGCTGCAGGGTATTCCCCGTGTAGCTTGGGGTTACCGATTTTGGTACTGAAACTTTACCCCGAGCTACACTCTGGAATACCGCCAGGGAGGTTAAAGTACCGCAAAAAATGGCCTGGTCAGGAAGGGGGGTAAATCCTCAGGAGGGCAAGTGGTTAAAGTAAAAAATGTTTAGGCATCAGTATCGCAGCCCCCACCCATACTCGCCTCCGCAATCGATCCTGTGCCTGTTTTCAGTGGCTCTGTCTTCTCTTCATGCACAGGATAGACTGAGATCAAGAGCCATTGGCTCATGCCGCTGTCCGGCAAGTCCTGTGAAGAAGGACTTCGTTCTGTGGTGGACTCCACAAGTGCCCCCATAGTAAGCAGCTTCCTATGGGGGCACTTGCTGACGAGGAGGAGCCAGCAGTGCAGGTGGGGGACCCAAGAAGAGGAGGTTTGGGCCACTCTGCAATTCCATTTAATCATGTTTGTTCATAAAAAAATGAGTTTACAGTCACTTTATAGTAAAGTGTGAAAAAAATGTAGCGCTACTCTCATATGTTCCTAAATGCAAGTGAACTACTAAAAAAGCTGATATATTAAATATCAAATATGTGAAATAGTATATCAATTTTTAGAATTCAAATAACTAATCATATAATAATAATGTGAACAAAATTACAACTCCAATAGTGATAGTGAAGACAAATTATTTCCAACATTAAATCAACTGCCAGTAATACGTGCTTCTATAAGTGTGTATATATGTGTATATATATATATATATATATATATATATATATATATATATATATATATAGATAGAGAGATAGATAGATATATATAAAGTATATATATATACGATAGTAGATATAAAGTGTTTACATAAATTTCATAAATACCCCGTAACGTGAATATATCCAAACAATGTGCATATATGTGAAACAAACAAGTGTAACTGCACACAAAAACTATTTTCGTGCATATAAAGTCCAAACACAAAAATGACCACACTTAGATGAAAAAACACTTGTGCTGATATTTGTGCAAAGAAGTGGGTTGGTGGTTTGAGCAGAAGATCATCCGACCACCGGCTGGATCAGCCTCTCACCTTAAAGACTCGACCCTTGCGAGTCTACACGTATAATAGGATCCCTCTCACAGATCCTCCAGGTCAGATGTCACTCCATACGACTGCTCCCACTGTATAAAAATCTCCCTCTAGGTATCAGCCCTTCAATAGTGGCTCCTCTCCAGGCAGGATCACAAGCTGCACTCAATCAACTTGTAAACATCAAAGCTCCAACCTCATGCTTCTGGATGTACTGAATGCATGGGTGTACAAGGGTGTACAGAGGTGTGCCAAGATGGCTGCCACGCCGGAAGTGCGTCACAGTACCATGTGACTTCCTCAGGGCCCTGAAGCCGCAACCTGTCACAGCCTGGTGCCCACAGTTGAGATGCCGGTGCCAGGAAGAGAAGTGACGGGTGAGCCCAACGCTGGACCCTGGGGCAGGTGAGTGTGTTGAGTCAGAAGCTATAGTTTTGTAGCTGCTGACTTTTAATAAAAATGAATGGAACTCCGCTTTAAAGATATATCTCCTCCTGGGCGTGGCCCTCTACTCGGAAAGGCAAAATCGCACATATATACATGGTTTTGCGCAGATTCTGTCCAGTGCTGTGAATCATAGCCCGTGAGAAGACATGTAGCTCCCACTTCTGCTCAGAACTTGACGGCAATCGGAGTGGAAGTTCTGCCTCCCCTTGCCCTGCAGCCTTCTGGGACACATCACAGGTCCTAGAAGACTGCGGGACCACTAATAAAGGGCAACTCGCGAATGTGCAGTGGTACTTGGTAGTGTAGCTTTGTGGATTCCCTTAAAGTGGTAGTAAACTCAATTTTTATACTTTTACCTACAGGTAAGCTTATAATAAAGCTCAGCTGTAGGTAAAATAAATATCTCTTAAACGTGTACAATTTAGGAGATATTTTAGTTAGCCACAGCCTGTGACCTCACCGGAGCATGCACTCTGAAGGAACGGCATACCTGTGCTGTTCCTTCAGAGCTTTGTGTTCCGGCAATAGCTCCCGTGCGCAGTGCTGGGGGAGTGACGACATCGCGGCTTCAGCTGCAGCCCGGGAGGCTGGAAGGAAGACCAGGTGAAGATGGAAGTCTCCGCAGCAGTGACAGTGCGCCGCTGGAGTGCTTTGTCCTCAGGTAAGTCTTTCATAATGTGCTAGTATGCGACGCATACTAGCACATTGACATTACCTTGCAGGGCAAAATACTTGTGTTTTTCTTTCAAAGAAGAATTGGTGCGGGTGAGGACATCGCTGGATCCCTGGACAGGTAAGTGTCCATATATTAAAAGTCATCAGCTACAGTACTTGTAGCTGCTGACTATTTTTTCTGGGGGAGACTAGAGGCCTTCTTTAAGTCCATATCACTCTTATAATTATATTTTAATTTATATAATTAATTTTATTTTAGTTTTTTTCTCAGCTGCTGCATAACTGCTTTTTACTGCATGTAAATTTTGAATACTTTTGCAGGGTTAACCTTTTTGTGTTTCACGTTGTTTATACAAATGTTTTCCTTAGTTACTTGTTGCTATGTTTATAGCTTCCTGCAACTTTCGTAAAGCGACCCAGACTCAGACCACAAAACCAGTCCCCTTGATCTTTCTGACTTGTTCCACTTTCTCACCACTATTTTGCATATAGACTGCATGCTTGAGCACCCACTGTGAGGTTGACTCTTGAAGAAAGATAGGAGGAGGAAAATCAGTGTGCCCACAAGTCAGTGTTCACAGTTTTGAAGTTCTACAAATGTTTGTGTTTAGATTTTAATTCATGGCTGCGTAAGCTCTGTAACTTGGTATTGAAACATAGCAGCACATGTGTAAGTAGCTACATTGCACTTTAATTGATGAGCATTTACTTATTCTAACCGATTAGATATCCTGGACTGTATAGTGGATTCAGGCTAATGAAAGCAGATTTATTTATTTTTTTTTATACTGGAATAAAAGCCTATTGCAGTGTTATGGCTGTATACCATGATTATTATGCTTGGTTGTTCAGTATTGTAACTCCAAGCAGTTCAGTGTTTTTACTTTTCTTTTTTTTCTAGTGTAACAATTTTGCAAAGTATTCAAACTACAATATTGCATAAATTGGAATACCTGTGATTGCCTAAATGTGTACTATTTAAAAACCTTTATACTGAAACTGGGACTACTTTCGTTGAATAAAAGTCTTTAGATCAGTTAACCATGTAAGTATTGTGGCAACCTTCGTTGCAGAGTGTTACTTGCATCTGCTATGTAGATACTGAAACGGGCAATTCTGCCAATTTCAACCTGAAGGATGTGAGAGGTATAGCCTGATATAATTAAATTCAGTTTCAGTATTGAATCTGTGTCTGGAGAAAAGATGAGCAAATCACATTTACATAAAATGAGATCTTTCTGCTGTAAATGTACTAAGAAGCAGCTGTGATCATTTCTATTCAGGTCTGGGGTGAATGGAGATAGTTAACTATGGCAAGGACATGGGATATCACTGGGATGCATTTTTGGCCAGTGATGTCTCTGGCTGCTTAAAAGTAATATTCCAGGTTTTGGTGCACTAAAAATAGTTTGTCTTGGCCAAGCTGGCCCAAATGAACTATTTCCATTGCAAAGTGATGGGGCCTCTGTGTGTGTTGCAAAATAAAATACTTAAGTAGTATTAGCTACATAGAGTAAGCAACACTATGTTCTCTCTACAGTATGGGCAACTTCCTCTCTGCTGCCAGAATTATAGAGTCAGGCCGCGTGCTTCTTGGCTATTCAGAGGAAGCATTGTATTTTTGTCAGTAAACACAAGGCTTCTTTTGATTGGACAAGGTGGAGAGGTGGGCGAATAACATCACATTACCCACTTTCGCCTGTCACAGGAAGCCTTGTGTGTTCATTGGCAAAAATACAAGGATTTTCCTGAATGGTGGAGAAGCACTCTGGAGTGACTCCCTTTTAATTCTAGCAGCAATCAGCCAGACTGCTGCTGCAATACATTGCCTCTTACTGAATGTAGCTAAGGCTATTGTAGTGTACTATTGCACAAACAGCGGCCGCATTGTTTAGTAATGGTAATAGTATATCTGGGTCACCTTGGCCCAAAGACTAAAGTGCAATGAAATCTGGAATTCTACTTGAACGTTTGTTGGGGCAAATTTAAATATTTCCATGCTTTCCCATGTTCTATGACGTTAGCCCTTTCATTGCTGCCGGCATAAGGGTTGTGGCAGTGTCGTGGTTTATTCTCAATCCGTTTTAAAAGTGTGGAAAAAAAAAACGGAAAGGCAGCAAAAGGGATGACCCTACAAGTACAGAAAAATACCTTTTTGTCAAATTGTGGGCTGTCTTGTGTTCATTGTTCACTTCCTGTGTTAGATGAGAGAGGAGGAGGATCTGAGCAGTTTGGCAAAAGGAAAACTGAACAGTCCATAAAAATGCTATATGTTGTCAGCCCGCAAGATAAATTTTAATCTGAGTGCTTTTATGACAAACATGTATTTACCTGAATACATTTTTTTTTTTTTAAACCATAGTTTAGTGATTTTTAGTACTGAAAATAAATGATTTATGGCTTCAGTTAGTATTATTATACTTGGATTTTTTTGCTGCAGGAATGGAGACTTCTCCATTGTTCTTCATGAATGGATTTTTAAACAAGGTGTGTCTTAAATTGACATGCAAAATCTTTTTAAACTTTTATAATTTTCAAATCTACTGGCCCCTTCTATGAGGGGGGAAAATAAGAGCAGTTTTTATTTGTACATACTGTAAATACTGTTTGAATAGCCCCCCTTCCTCCAATATAGTTTGTGAAATAATATATTTTTGTTTTCTTTCAGATAATCCAAAATGAGGCGAAAAGGACGTTGGCATAGGGTCTCTGCACCCAGGACGTCTACCTCTCCCTGTAGTATTAAGCATTCTCCTACTCGAGAGACATTGACTTATGCCCAGGCACAGAGAATGGTTGAAATTGAAATAGAAGGTCGTTTGCACAGAATAAGTATTTTTGATCCTCTCGACATTATTTCTGAAGATGATCCTACTGCTCAAGAAATGAGTGAATGCAATAGCAATAAAGAAAATAGTGAGCAGCCACCCCAGGTTTGTTTACGGTCTAAAAGACAGAAAACCAGTAAAGGAAAAAAGAAAAGTGAAGTTCTTCCAACCACGCACGGACATGCTTCCACCAGCACTCTTCCAGAGCCCAAAGTACGTGTCATAGAATGTAGTCCTCCTTCTGCTCCCAGTAGGCCTGCTACATATTACAAATTTCATGAAAAGTCTTCAGAGGAGCTGGATAAAGAAGTGGAGTACGATATGGATGAAGAGGATTATGCTTGGCTGGAAATAGTAAATGAGAAACGAAAAAGTGAAGGACTTTCTGTAGTGTCTCAAGACATATTTGAATTCCTTATGGACAGGTTTGAGAAGGAATCTTATTGTGAAAACCAAAAGCAGGGGGATCAGCAGTCATTAATTGATGAGGATGCTGTATGTTGCATTTGCATGGATGGAGAATGTCAGAACAGTAATGTTATTTTGTTTTGTGACATGTGTAATTTAGCAGTACATCAAGAGTGTTATGGTGTGCCATACATACCAGAAGGACAGTGGCTCTGCAGGCATTGCCTCCAGTCACGTAGCACGGCTATTGACTGCGTGTTGTGCCCAAATAAGGGAGGTGCCTTTAAAAAGACTGATGATGATCGCTGGGGACATGTAGTTTGTGCTTTGTGGATCCCTGAAGTTGGATTTGCAAATACTATTTTTATTGAACCAATTGATGGTGTACGTAACATACCCCCAGCGAGATGGAAATTAACTTGCTACCTCTGCAAGCAAAAAGGTGTTGGTGCCTGCATTCAGTGCCATAAGGCTAACTGTTATACAGCTTTTCATGTAACTTGTGCTCAAAAGGCTGGATTGTACATGAAAATGGAGCCCGTGAAAGAAGTGACGGACAGTGGCACAACGTTTTCTGTAAAAAAGACAGCATATTGTGATGCCCATACTCCCTCAGGGTGTGTCAGAAGGCCTCTAAACATATATGAGCTGCCAGAGTCTAAAAATGGCATTTGTAGAAAAGGGACTGATAAATCAGCTAGGTCTACATCTAAGGTTAGGAAAAAAGCAAAGAAAACAAAAAAAGCGTTGACTGAAACGTGTACAGTTATACCAACAGTCAATGTTCCTGATATTCCACCTCAAAGGTAAGATGGTTAACCTCAGCATGATAGTAAAAAGTGTTTATTATTTAAGATGTGATGCTTATTTAATTTTCCTAAGGTATAAAACATAACAGAAAAACAATTGTAGAATGGTTGGGGAAGGCTGTGAAAGAAATATAGTAGACTTTTTAGTGTTTTTTTCCAGCTCTGTGACGTGCCTCCTGTGTGTGTGGGTTTTTTTTTTTTTTTTTTTTCTCCTGGTTACTATCTCTCCTTGTGTCACATGATTCCTCTCCTTTAAATTGTATTTGCACTTTTAGAGGTGTGCACTAATTCTCTATCCAGCAAATCTTTCCCAAAACCCTCTTCCCAATGAAAGGATGCCCTCTCTCCTAAGAGTAGGGGGTGACTTGTTAAAGTTTGCCTCTCTGGGTCACTAATGTCTGAGACCTATAGGTTCAGTCGGTGGTTTCAGGGGGGTAGAAATAATGCAGAACTCTACCCCTGTGTCTTCTCAAGTCAACTAAAAACTGCCCAAGGTCAGTCAAATTTGCTAAGTGCTCTGAACCATCTCCTTGTCCCAGTGAGTTGTTGAGCCAGTACCTAAACAAGACCAAAGCCGAATGGGTGTATTTGTCCAATTCTGGACTTAAATTCTCTCAACAAATGCCTTCAAATTCCAAAATTTGAAGGAATCCGCAAGGGCAGTAATCACTTGTCTGGTACAAGGGTGTCTAGACCTCAAAGATGTCTACATACACATTTTCCTATTTATCTACCTCATCAGCGCTTTCTGTGCTTTGAGTGGCAGACCATCTTTTCCAGTTTGTAATGCTGCCTTTTAGCAGGTGCCAGGCTATTCACAAAGGATCCAGGACCTCTTCTCTCAAAACTCAGGGCATTCAGGTCAAAAGCTATCTAGATGACCATCTCTGACCTTCGAAGGACTCCTCTCTCATTCAGCTGTCAGTGAACAACCACATGATAATTCAGATGCTTAAGACTTTCTGTTGGGTAATCATTTACAGAAAAAAAAAAAAAAATCTCTACAGCTTTTTCTTTGTCTGTAATACTTTGGTCCTGGTTACTTCTAGAAAAGAAAAATCATTTTTTTGAGGGGGCACGCTTCAGGATTGAGGTCAAATAGACATACCCCAATAAGATGCTCCATGGGAGTTCTAGGCTTCCGAGGCTGTACCGTTTTGCCCAATTTAACAGCCTTCCATCGTAACATTCTATCAGCCTGGAACCAGCATGCCTTCCCTATCACTGGAAAGTGATCACCGCAAATGCCAGTCTTTCAGGCTGGGAAGGAGTGTTCTAGTCTCGTGGTCCAGGTAACATCTCTGGAAGCCAAGCTTCCTATCAACATTCTGCAGCTCAGAGCAGTTAGGATAGCTCTGTAACATTGGACCTCCCCTTCTGTGGGAACACCCACTCAGGGTGCTATCAGACATGCCAAGGCTGTGGCCTACATCAGCCGGCAAGGTGGGGCACTAGGAGTCATACAACCTTTCGGGAAGTAAGCCAGATAATCTCATGGATGGGAAACTTCCTTTCAAGGGATCTTTGCAGTCCTAATCCCAGGAGTGATAAACTGGAAAGTGGACTACCTCAGCCACCACCTGGATCAAGGGGAAAGGGCCCTTCACACAAACATCTTCAATCTGAATGTCAGAAATCTCAGGATGGAATAGATTCCAGCCTGCTTTGTCAAAGGCATGCGCTGCTCCACCAGAGCAGTCTACCTACTGACTTACCTAAAGGATTTGTGTTCAGCTTTGAAGAAAAAAAAAATGCACGTTTTTATAGAATTGAAAAAAACGTGCAATTATTAATTTATTTTACACTGGGGCCTGCAAAGCATTTGCAGTCGTGATCAGTGGAAATCAGGCTTTGCAGAAACTTTCAGCAGCTCTCTGCCTGCACATGGGACTTGTATTTTATTAATTTACAGATTGCTCCATCTGCACACAGCCATACCGATTTTAAATGTGACAGTGGCAGCAGGGGAGAGGAATCCCTAACTGCTGTCTCAAAGGGCTCAGGGTCCGAGTGGGGCTTGAGCTTTGCAACTTGTTGCATGTTACCTCTTAAGTATGTATGTAATATGTTGTTAAAAGCTAAAATTACCCTCAAAACACCAGTCCCTTTTTTTTTTGTTTTTTTTGTTTTCTGACACTTTCAGCCAAATTAGGATAACCTTCCTATGTTTGTTACATGTTCCCATTCACTTAGCATAAGTTAGGGCCAATTCACACCAGTGAGTTGATCTGCGTTTTAGAGCAGCAGTAAAACACAGATCAATGGAAGCATATTTGAAAAACAATGTGTCCCATTCACACCATAATGCTGTCTATGCATGTACATGGACATCAAAATGTATGTCAATGGATATCCACGCGTGTTAAAACACAACTAAAATGGATGGGAATGTACAGCAAATCAGTGTGCATTGGCCCTTTAAAGATTTTACCTACATTTTTACTTGGTATTCTCTAAATCCAAACTGAAGTTTCCATCTGGTATGTAATGTTGAGGGGGATTTTAAGTTAATGTTTACAATATTTTATTGTGCCTGTACTGTGTTGGCAGATTTCATTATCAGTTGTAAATTAGATTTTAATGCTGTCTGTCCTCTCAAAAGGTAAAAGATTTCAGGGCTATGGTCTTTCACTGTATGTTAAGGAGAGGAAAATTTAAGCTGGCTATAGATGGGTCGAATCTTGGCTGGTTCAGCAGGTATCGACCAAGATTCTAACCATCTATGGGCAGGCTGATTGCACCCAATTTGATTGTTGTATGACTTTGGTACAACCAGCATGTCGGATTTTACATGCGATTATTTCCTGTGGCTATATCCGCTAACAATCTGTGTTCTCCCGGCAGCCTTTACAACCACTTTAATGCCTTGCTTTTATGAAACATCATGTTTTCCTTTTTGTTGCAGTTTGAAATATTATGATTATTAATCATAATAATTTATTTTAAGTATATGTTTTATGTTGCATGTTAAGAAACATTTATTGCATTTTTTCCTGATCTCAAGTTAAGGATTTTCATGTTTTTGTCTTGTTCAGAATAAACAAAATATCAAACCAGGTGTCTATTCAGCGGAAGAAGCAATTCATGGAGAGAGTGCATAGTTATTGGCTTCTGAAGCGACTGTCAAGAAATGGCATTCCTTTACTGAGACGGCTTCAGTCTAGTTTGCAGTCCCAGAAAAACATTCAGCAGGTGAGGTTATTTTAGATAATCATTGTCCACACAAAAGCCTTTGTGAAAATGATTTGTTTATTAAGGATGTTAACACCAAAAACCAGTAGTACTTGGAGTAAATCACTAGAATATATTTATTTTGGATGTAATGAAGCAAGGTTTTGTCTCCTTTCAGTTGTTCTCATTATGCAGAATCCTGATCTGTTGATATTCTCCTGCCATAAAAGCCTGGGCTGTGATATACATAATGTTATATAATTGACTAGTGGTGCACCTAAATGAAAATTCTGGTGCCGAAACTGAGACAGAAAATTCAGAATGCATGTGGCTGAAAACCAAACTGAAATTTCTGCGTGTATGGGAATGGGGAGGCTCCAATTTTTTTTTTTTTATTTATTTTTTTTTCTACTTTCCTGTGTATATATTTTTTAACTTATGGTTTTATTGCTATCACACGGGGGACTAATCGTCCCCTATGTGATAGCATATGAGTGACAGGCCATCTTTGTAGGGGGGAGGGGGTGCAGTGTGTGCAAGGAGGAGGCAGGATAGTATACAGTGAGGGAGTAGTGTATACAGAGAGGCTCCCTCACTGGCTGTCACTATGGGGTTTATTTACTAAAGCTGGAGAGTCCAAAATCAGACTTCCTTCTGCATAGAAACCAATCGGCTTCTAACCTCAGCTTGTTCAATGAAGCTTTCGCAATGAAACCTGGAAGCTGATTGGTTTCTGTGCAGAAGTGAGTCTGATTTTGCACTCTCCAGCTTTAGTAAATAAACCCCTATATGTCAGTGCCGGTTTTTAAATGCAATTACCAGTGTTTTTTTTTTTTTTTTTTTTTTTTTTTTTTTTTTCCTTTCACTATAGCGCAGAGAAAAACTTTGTTTTACCTCGGGAAAAGTAACTAAAAAGAAACTGTTTCTTTTAACTCAGGTAAAGTGACAGGTCATTCTCTGAGCTATAGTGAAAAAAAAAAAAAAAAAGCCGGTAATTGGATTTAAAAAAACGGCACTGACATATAGTGACAGCCAATCACTGTATACACTGCTCCTCTCCTGCCTTTCTTGCCACCACCACCCCCTCACATCTGCAGTACACACAGTCCCCTGTATCTGCTTAATTTTTCCTATTGGCAAAATGCCGATAGGGCTATTTTCAACCGATTTGTTTCGGTGGCTGAAATTTTGGTGTATCCCTATAATTGACCCTTGTGAAAACTTTTTCTGTACATTTTTTGAAGATTGCTAACAGAGTGACTGTTAGCTTTTCTGTTCATTGTTAGTTAGTTATGTGCCACAGTAAACATAAAACCCCCTTCACATGGGTGATCAGGTCTGTCTGTAATTTTTTTCATGTGGATCTGATAAGAAGGTCCATAAGTTCTTATGGACAGGCGGGTGTAAACGGATTTGTGTTTTTTTACATCCACCTAAATCTGTGTCTGATCTGGTCCACTAAAAGAAAAATGAAAATTGGTCTGTCCTCTTCCATTTAGGTGGAAAGGAGGGTATTGGGGTGTAAATAGACAGTGGAGTCCATGTACACCGGTCGCCCACAGAGCGGGCTCTGTCTGTTCACTTTTGCAGAGACTGAGTGGACATGGAAGTGTCATCTGTCTGCTCCACTCTGATCAGCAGGGGATTTGTGAGCTGATCCCCTGCCTGATTGGAAAGGATTCACCCTGTATGAAAGGGGCCTAATGTTTGACATGCTTGCAAATCCCTTTTAATTTTTAATTTAGAATTGATTTCTTTGTTTTAACTCTTTCAGAGAGAAGATGATGAAGAAGTTCAGAACTTGAAAAAGAAATTAAAATACTGGCAACGGTTAAGACATGACCTTGAGAGAGCTAGATTATTAATTGAACTTATCCGAAAACGGGAAAAGTTAAAACGTGAACAGGTAGCACTCTTTTACTTTTTTGATATGTAGTTTATTAATAATGAGGTTTCAGATTTAGATAAACATTTTTCAAATATTTTTTATTGAATGCCAGTATCACAGATATTCTATTGTAAATGTAAATACAGAAAAAAAGAGGGATTACACAGAATCCACCGAAGATTAACATATACAATATTTCTTAAATAATATTTGCTTAAATAGATATGAATAGCGCTCACTATTAGATGAGCATTTCAATATGTTTGAGCAACATGCTGTGAAAATGACAGGTATAAGAGTAGAATGTCTCATGCACACAGGTGCTGATCTTAGTTTTTATTTTTCCCCTTTCAGCATGTAAAAACATCTCTATATAAGACTGTGTCCATGCACATTTACGGGCCTATTAGGAGTGTTTACAGACAGAGTGGAATAAACTCAGCACGCACCTGTGAACGCATTAACGCTAGCCCTGTAAAGCATATGCACATTCATGCATTCCAATGGCAAAAATAAATATTCTGCCCAGTAGAATGCATGTATGCTCATGTATGTGAAAGGAAATCTCTCCAAAGTAAAGGGAATCCCTGGTTGTTGGCAGACTTGGTGTCCACACTTAGATTTCCCCTCCTGTTAGGGCGCTTTTCCACTTCCCTGCTGTGGTTCCCCTTTAGTGCAGCATACCTGCAGTTTTCTTGTGAGTTGCGTGCATTTTCCCATAGACTTCTATCAGATCAGGCGTTTTTAGTGCGTTTTCTGAAAATCACCAAAAGTCCTGCATGTTGCGTCTTTGGTGCGCTTTTGGAAAATGCACCAAAAAAGCTTTCCATCTGGGGATAACGGTAAATGGACAAATAGAGAGTGTGAATCAACACTCGCCACCCTTCTGAGCCTTGCTTTTTCCTCCTTGCCATTTTACTTCCCTCCACTTGCCCCCTGCCTGCATAGATAGGTTTATATGGAATGATATGGACAGGTGGCAGAGTGGACAGACGGATTTAAAGCATTGTTAGGTCAGAAGTGTGTTTGTGTGTGTGTGTGTGTTGTGGTGTAATGGGGTCTGTAATATTGGTATTATACTTTCCAGTCTACCTGGTACTGGCAAGAAGGTCAGGCAAAGTGTATATTTGGGGATATATAAGCACTATATTTAGCAACCGGACCTCTTCGAATTTTAATTCAATACCCCTTATATACACTACGTTGCAAAAAGTATTGGGACGCCTGCCTTTACATGCACATGAACTTTAATGGCATCTCAGCCTTAGTCCGTAGGGTTCAATATTGAGTTGGTTCACCCTTTGCAGCTAGAACAGCTTAAACTCTTCTGCGAAAGGCTGTCCATAAGGTTTAGGAGTGTATCTATGGGAATGTTTGACCATTCTTCCAGAAGCGCATATGTGAGGTCAGACACTGATGTCGGACGAGAAGGCCTGGCTTGCAGTCTCCTCTCTAATTCAACCCAAAGGTGTTCTATCGGGTTGAGGTCAGGACTCTGTGTAGGCCAGTCAAGTTCCTCCACTCCAAACTCGCTCATCCATGTCTTTATGGACCTCGCTCTGTGCACTGGTGCACAGTCATGTTGGAACAGGAAGGGGTCATCCCCAAACTGTTCTCACAAAGTTGGGAGCATGAAATTCTCCAAAATGTCTTGGTATGCTGACGTTCTAAGAGTTCTCTTCACTGCAACGAAGGGGCCAATTCCTGAAAAACAACCCCACACCTTGAGACTCCCCTGCACCAAACTTTACACTTTGAACAATGCAGTGAGGCAAGTACTGTTCTCCTGGCAACCGCCAGACCCAGAAATGTACATCGGATTGCCGGACAGTGAAATGTGATTCGTCACTCCAGAGAACACGTCTCCACTGCTCCAGAGTCCAGTGGCGGCGTGCTTTACACCACTGCATCCAATACTTTGCATTTCACTTGGTGATGTAAGGCTTGGTTGCAGCTGCTTGCCCATGGAAACACATTCCATGAAGCTCTCTACTCACTGTTGTGCAAATCCGAAGGACACATGAAGTTTGCATGTCTTTAGCTATTGACTCTGAAGACAGTTGGTGACTTCTTCATGTGCATGCGCTGACCTCGCTCTGTCATTTTACATGGCCTTCCACTTTGTGGCTGAGTTTCTGTTGTTCGCAGTTGCTTCCACTTTGTTTTAATACCACGAACAGTTGACTGGTCTTTTTACACATTTTTTGGCCTCTTGCACATGGGGCGCCACAAGTTCCTGAGTAAACATCAGTAAATTATGATGCCCGTGTGCAAGGGGCCTAATAAAATTCTTACAGAACAAAAAGTGGGTGGATCTCCCCTTACGGGGGCTCAACCAACAATAAAACTGACAGGTGTTCTAATTCTTCTCCACTCTATCGAAAACTAAAAAAAAGGTGTTGCCTTTAGTTATACTTTAGATTGGTTGGTTGTAAAGGATGAGGTTTTTTGACCTTCATGCATTATATGCATGCAGGAAAAAAAAAAAACCCACCTATGTGCTGCTCACCTGAGTCCGGTCTCAATCCAGCAATATGCACAGGAGCCTCGGCTGTCCAGAGTCTATCTTCATGGGCTCCCACTGCTGTCAATCATAGCCAGTGAGACAATGAGAAAAGAGCAGGTGGTGGGGCCACGTCACAGCTCTGTGTCTCATGGAGGCATAGAGCGGGGCACAGGAGCGTGCACTCACCAGTCCCACCCATAGCAAGCGGCTTGCTATTGGGGGCACTAGTCAAGGGAGAAGAGCCAGGAGCGGGGGCACCCAAGAAGAGGAGGATTGGGCTGCTCTGTGCAAAACCATTGCATATAGCAGGTAAAAATTACTTGTTTGTTATTTAGAAAAAAAAAAAACAACCCATTTTAATATCACTTTAATCTTTTCGACATGAATGAGGGAGCAGTGCATGAAGTGCAATGTTTTTGACACTTTAGTCTACATTTTTATGAATGCACACAAACCTAATTGAACTATGACTTTCTTTGCTTTTTATTGCAGATAGTTTACCAGGCAGATGGGCTTTTCTGTAATATTTTATATATTTATATACAGTGTAGAAGTGTACACTAGAAGCATAGTGCATATTTATGTATATTTTTTTTCTTTTTAGGTTAAGGTTGAGCAGGTTGCTATGGAGCTTCAACTAACGCCATTGACAGTAATCCTGCGAACACTTCTTGAACAACTGCAGGAAAAGGATCCTGCCCATATATTTTCTCAACCTGTGAATCTTTCTGAGGTACGGACAACAGTGATTATTCAACTGATAACAGAAAAACTGCTACAACGCACCCTTTTTGTTCATACAGCCAACCCTTTTTGTTTTAAAGGATAAGTTCACCTTTTGACCAAAAATAATAAATCCACAAATAATAAATGCACAAAAAGTGCGTTTATTATTCTTGGCTGCAGGAGCCTGTAAAGCATTGCACCAACGATCAGCAAATCGCTGGTGCCATGCAGGTCTTGTATGAGCTAGCGGATATACGGTCAGGAAGATTCAGTGAACTACAAGTCGACAGCCACTAAGGCTGCTAGGATCTGTAGTTCAGGCATAGAATACTGTGAATGAATGACGAGGCTGTGTGGGTATAGCTCCATACGCCCGCACTGTTGTTTAATAAGTAAAAGCTTGTATGGCGAACTTCTCCCCATACTTCTGTCACAGTGGTTGCAGCATTGGAAACATGTTACATGTTCCACCATAAAAATGGGTGGCACATGTAACATCTTTCCAAAAGTGAACTTATCCTTTTAAGATTTCATTGACAAGGCATCTTTGCTACAATATTATGTATTAGGATTGGTTTTATTTATTTTTTTAATAGGTTCCTGATTACTTGGACCACATAAAACATCCCATGGATTTCTCTACAATGAAGAAACAGTTAGAAGATCAGAGATACAGTAATTTAAATGAATTTGAAGAGGACTTCAATCTTATAATTGAAAACTGTATGAAGTACAATGCCAAGGACACAATGTTTTACAGAGCTGCTGTTCGGTTGCGAGATCAGGGAGGAGCATTATTAAGGCAAGCAAGGCGTGATGCTAATGCTATTGGCTTTGATGAAGAAACAGGGATGCATTTACCAGAGCAACCAAAAACTGAACCTCCCCCACAATTTTCCTGGGAGGATGGTAAGTTAATTTCAATGCTTTACCCTGAATAGGGTAAAGAAGACCCAAAGGAACCAAATGCTTTTTCTCTACAACTTGTCAATGTAGCGTATGTTGGCTTTGACATCCGTAAAACACAACCTTTTATTCTGTAGCGTTAACCAGTTATGGGTTTAGGTTTGTACTTGCATACCCTACTGTCCTTCCTCACTTATATAAATACCTGTGCCCACTGCCAGACATCTACGGCCTTAGAACGGGGGGCTGTGTGCGTGTTTGGCTGACTTGCTTTCAGCAGCTAGTGTTGGTGCTTGTGGGTGAAACTTATCTGCCAAGTGCAGCTAATGGGAATATAATGCTTCAAACCTGAAGGTTAAAAGTAGAAAACAGTCTAGTAACACCTTGTTTAAACTTTTTTCAGATTTTTATTTCTTATGATGGCAAACAAAATACACAAAAAGCAAGAAAAAAAAATATTGTTGATAACTTTACCATGTTTTAAACTATTAATTATAATTTTATTGTTATGGTAAGCTGGCCAAGCTGTAGAATAAAGTTAGTATTTTGTGTATTTAGAAGTTTTAAAGAACTCCAGTATATACTGCCTGTTTTTACAGCCCCCTGACTGTAGACTAGATATTGGAGAGTTGCCCTCCCTTTTTTATTCTGGGGGAAAAATAAAAACTTTAGCAGATAGGAGGTTAGGGAGAATCTGCAACATGCAAGAATACAAAGCTGAGCGAGGTTCTAGTTTAAAAAAAAAAAAACAATGCAAATTTAAGGACTATTATGTCTGTAGATTGTTATATGATTCGGTTTTTTGTATAATCTTTTCAGAAATAGTGATGTTTTAGTTCTAGATGTGCATTTTGAAGTTGAAAGTGTGTGCTTTCAAACTTGGTTGTCTAGATAAATGGTCTTAAGTAGTTGACACCAGTCTTACAATATATAAATCTTTGGGGTGTGTGTAAAAATGTCTTCCAAAAGTAGTGTTTTGGTTTTTTTTTTTTTTTTTTTCCCTGCTATTGTTCGCTTTGACAAATCACAGGCAGCCGGATGTGCCTGCACGTAACTGCAGCAGCTATTCATACCTTCTGTTTAGCCTAATGCTGGCCCATTAAATGTGGCAACGCTGACACTTCCAGGTAGTGGTGCAGCTTGCTTGTCCCTCATGCCCTTAGCAAAGTCCTGTTTGCCCATTACCAGGCAGGGTTGCCTCACTGGCACAATAGGAATGCATGTAACGCAGGAAGAGAGAGGGAAGCTCCAGCTCTACTAGCATCAGAACTTTTCCCTGTTGGAACAGCCTGGCATTTAGGTGAAGCGGCTTAAAGGAAAAAGCATGGCCCTACTCCTGTGGATTGCAGTTCATTGTGCACACCTGCTGTACAGTGCAGGCCCAGTTCCTGGTCACCTAAATGGAGAAAATAATTATTCGTTGTGGGAGATTTACTAAAATTTGAGCATTCAGAATCTGGTATCATGGTAGCCAATCCGCTTCTAACTTCAGCTTGTTCAATTATTTTTTTTAATTTATTTTTTTTCCATCTGGATATACAAAGTTGTAATGATATGCACAATTTTACTAATGCATGTTAGAGTTGTAAAACTCTGTTCAGGCATTAAAAGGATAAGTTCACCTTCTGGAGCATCTTACACCTATGTTTAGGTTGTAACTTGTAACATGTGCTGATGAGTACCCTTGTAGTTCAGTCACAAGCCCTGCAGCTTTAAAACTGACAAGCCTGTACAAAGGTACATGCTCAAAGCTGTAGGGCTTGTCTGCAGGAGCCTGACATTGCACCCATATAATGGGTGCATTACTTTTTTTTTGGTGCATTTTATTTTTTACCAAAAGCTTTTGGTTTGTTTTACCCTTCATCATGAAGGGGCTAATGTCTCTTCTGTTGGCAACTTTGGGCGTAGGGTGCCTTTTTTAGTTTTTTTTGTTGCTGTTGCTCACCCCCTGTTGCTTTTGGATGTCCAGCATTCATTCAGTTCCTAAGTCTGTCGTGGAACGCTAAACACTGTAGTGCATTGAGAGACTAAGGTCCCATCCCCTGTATCTATTTTTTTTTTTTTTTTTTTTTTTTTTTTTTTTTTTGGGGGGGGGGAGGTGGATAACCTGCCTTTTGACAGATACCTGCTCCCCACTTCCAGCCAGATCGCCACAGCGATCTGAGCCGAAGTTTGCAAATTCAGACCCCCTTTTCCCCCTGCAGCCTTCTGAGACCTGTCACAGGCCCCAGAAAGCTACAGGACCACTCAGCGCAGTGCAGCTTGCGCATGTGCAGTGAGGACGTAAGCATTCTCAGCTGGCTGCCCAAATTTGTTTCGTTTTTTTTTTTTTTTTTTTTTTTTTACCCCTAGTGTCCAAATCCTCCCGGCAGGCAGCTGTAAGTCCAATAGTCATTAAATTCTCCCCTCCAACCCCCCCCCCCCCCCCTTCCTCAACATCCAGAAATTCCATCATTTATAATTGATAATACAGGATTAAATGCATAAAACTTGAGAATAGCAAGTAATTAATCTTTCACTGTTCATTTATATATCTGCAGTTGATAAGCTGCTGAATCCTAATAACCGTGCACATATGCCCTTGGAAGAACAACTAAAAGAACTGTTGGAAAAACTAGATTTGACTTTTGCAATGAAATCAAGTGGATCCAGGAGTAAACGGTTAAAATTGCTGAAAAGAGAAGTTAGCAATGTTCGTCAACTGTTGTTACAACAGCAAGTGCAACCTCCACAAATAGAATCTGGTATTGGAAGCTTTGAAGAGGAAAATGGGTCCACAGTTGAAAATGATGGCGAAGAAGATGGTAAGATACCTTTTTTGTTTACATATTTTTTTATAGTTCAAAGTGGACCTATCCTCAGATATATATAATTTTTTACCTTACGTGCCTGCATGCTAAGCAGTGTACAAGTGTAGCACCTACAAAGAAAATTAAATTCTTTAGAAATTGCATGCATTTCTCCTCAGAATTGTACTATTTTTTTTTTTTTTCTGATGTTACCAGGTCCAGTGTTTACTTCCTGGACAAAGATGGTAGGTCATTGCACACGCCATGTAAATCCTGATGCCTGCTCAGTAGTCTTTGATTTTTGTCTCTGTATACAGAATATCTCAAACAGCTAAGCCTCACTGGCGCTGAATATCACCTTGCACTGATGACCTTCCTCCAGCATGTTTCTCTCAGACCTAGACACAGTAACTTGACTGAAACATATCTACTTTCTAGTGATAAAAGACACATGTTTAGATATGCGATCGTCACTGTGTGGCCTGCTAGTGCTACACAGCTTTCAAAATCTTCAGAAATCTAAAGAATTGTTTTCCAGTGTATGCACCAAGGTCTCCAAAAACTGGTGCAGATCATTTTACAGCCTGATGCGATTGCTTTGAAGTGAACAGAGTATGACGCTTATACGCAGTTCCAAGTTTGGCCATGGCTGTGCCGTATCAGGCAGACTGCACAGTGAAGATATTAGAGAAGCAAACTGAATTATAGGCAGTCGACGTATTGTGAATGTGGGAGGGTTGAGGTGCAAAAAAATTTATTTGGCTATCTAGTACCATTTTTAGGCCAGGACTAAAACAAATCATTGAATGAATCTGAAGGTTTTTTTTTTTTTTTTTTTTTTTTTTTTTTTTTACAAGCTTGCATGTGGAGAGGCAATTATAGTAAATCATCCGCAGTCTCTAATAAAGCAAAATAGGTTATATCATTGTAAAATTTTAAACCTTGACCTCAAGGCACAGCAAAGGTAACTTTACTGTTGTGCTTAATCGTCCAATCAGAGAACACTTTGCATTAGTTTAGAAAATGGAAAGTTTTCTATGAATGGCACCTGTGCCATTAGGCCAATCTGTGTTCGCTGTGCAGCACAGCAGCTGCTTATTGCGGGACCAGAGATGCCTGGCGTAGAGGTGTCTACGTCATTTTATTTCCAGATTCCAGGGCCATCGGCCAGGTATGGCACATTCATAATTACGGTGTTTTTAAGCTCGACCAATGTAACTTTGTATAAAATAATACCTGGAATTCGTTTTGGATACAGGATGCCTTTATGACATTTAACTTGCTGGGCTTTCTAATTAGAAAGCCCACTACTACCTTTTCACTTATGATTCCCTGTGTCTAACTAAAAATATCTGTCTTTATTTGAATGTAGAAAAGGAAAGGTTTGCTTTTTCGACTCCCTCAGCTCTGTGTGTGTTTTTAGTATAGTGGGGGATGATGTTACACCAACTTTTTAGCATAGTATAAATTGTTGAGAAAATCTGGAATTGCAGCCTTTAGTGTTCCACTTACTGGCTGGTAATTTACTGAAATAATCTTAATATGCAAATTATCATATTCACCTAATTGAATGGAAAAAAGTGTCCTTAATCAACTCTTATATAAGCCAGCCGAAGTGACTAGCTTCAGATGATACACAGATGAAGCAGATCCTCACACTTAAGCTGTACCTCTTTATCTGTACCACTCACCTTCACAATCTTTAAAAATACACAGATCAGATATATTTCCAAGCTTCCAGAACATAGTGGATGAGTATCTGACTTGACACGCTAAACAGCACAGATTGGAAAGCAATAATGGTGGTCATAATGTCATGTCAGATAGCTAAGAAAATTATTGGTGTTGTGCTGATAGCTCTGCCAAGCGCTTTTGTGTCCCAAAACCAAGCATACACCAACAGGACAATAGGTCCTCCATTCTCTGCAGTATACTGTGGTTTCATGGAACCCTGGTCGAGAATGGTTGGTTGCTTTAAAGTGGTTCTAAAGGAAAAAGTGTGTTTTTTTTTTTTTTTTTTTTTTTTTTTTTTAACTTTAATGCAATCTCTGCATTAAGGTAAACTCCTTCCTATATCAGCTGACTCCAGCCCCCCCCCCCCCCCCCCAAGTCCATTCTCAATCCAGCACTGTGACCATCTGCTGCAGCTCTTCTCTCCTCTTCCTGGACTCACTGAAGACTCGGACGGCAGTGGGAGCCACTGGCTCCTGCTGCTATCAGCCAAAATTTGTGAGAAGAGAGCACGGTGTGTCACACAGCTCAACGACTCAGGAGTGCACCCACACTAATGCCTCCATAACAAGCGACTTGCTATGGGGGCATAAGAGGAGGTTCAGGGCTGCTCTGTGCAAAACGTGCACAGAGCAGGTAAGTATGACAGGTTTGTTATTTTAGGAAAACTTACAATCGTTGAACTCTACAGATACTACTTAAATCTGTAGTTTCATACTTTGGAGTTTCTAGTTCGGGAGGTGCCAGATTGTAAAATTGCTAGATAGGCTCTTAACTGTTGGTTTGGGAACACCAGAGGATATTTCTGTGGGTGGAGTGAGTCCTTCTGCTTTTTCAGGTAAATTCTTCCTAAAATAGGCATGTTTAACGACACTTTCACTGAAACCTATACATACATTGTTGCCTTCTCTATTCATACAGTATTCTTTTAATGGTCACCAACAACAGCATGCTTGAACATATTTAATGCATGCACAGACCCAAATCATGCTAGTAGACACGATATACATTAGGCAAAAAAAACTTAAGCTGTACCCTTCATTCAAAACACCTGAGCTCGATACATTTTGAGTGGATGGTCACATATCTCTTAAAGTTCTAATGTGATGTTCAGGCGTCCACATATTTTTGACCATAACTGGTTTACTATTAAACACTTGATATAAACAATAATATATTTATGATGGTTGTTTTTATGTGGTGTTGGATTATATGTTGGCATCGTTAAAAAGCCCCATTCTCTGTTAAGGTTTGCTATATGTGTTTTTGGGATTGGGTGCCCTTGATTTCTGGACACCTGACTTATCTTGTTACCACTATTAAACCCTTATCTGGATAATTTTGTGGTGTGGAATTTTGTCACTAGCCCGGGTGTTTAATTTGTCGGGATAGCTAATGGAAATATTAGATGCACAGGCAGCTATTGACCTTTGCTATTGTGTTCTCACCATTCATCAATGGAAAGCAGTTTCTTAGGATCCTTAATAAGTGGTCCTTTAATGTGATGTACGCCTTAAAGGCATATCATTTTCATAGGGCACAAAAATTGTCTGTATAAGGATTGTTGTGTATATAAAAATTTCACAGTGCTAGGAACATAAGTTTTTGTAGTTTGTTTTAGCAGAGCCTTTTTTCCCCTTTCAGTAAAGGCTTTTAAAATCCTCATGTATAGGATTAGAAGACATGTCTGTGTTTTTGTGTCATTTACTTTGTGTCTCAAAACATTATCTCATGAAGCGTTTTACAAAAGTGCATTGTGTGTCTTTTGTTCTTACATAACATGATGCCCATGCAAGACAGCTGTTCTTTTTGCATGTTTTTGTCCTTCGCTCAATGAATGCGGGCCATATGGTGTCCTCTTCAACCTGAGAAGCCATCAAGAAGTGTTTTGCATATAAGTGTGTCCCCTTTTGTCTCCATAAGCTAATTTTATTGACCTTAAACTTTTTTTTTATTTATTTTTGTAGTGAGTTGATTTGGGAATGCATACTATGTTTCTGCTTTTAGTATGTTTAACCAGTTTTTGGTTGCCTTTCTAAAGAGTAACTAGAGGGAGAACCTTTGCAGTAATTAATAGTTTTCTTTTATTATAAAACATAATCTGGGATCGAGCAACTTGTGCAAAAATGAAATACTCTAAATCTTGTTCAAAAAAATATACATTTGTGCTTGAAGATCCAATTTGTATTTATTTAATGGGTTTTTTGCTCTTTATGCTGCTTATTAAAAAAAACAAAAACCTTCATTAGATTTTATAATAACATGTTTAACTTCCTTTTTTTGCTTTCTATTGCCTTAATGTTAAATAAATATACATATTAAAATACATTTTGCAGTTAAAGTAGAATGTAAGACTTGTAATAGTTCCCAGGAGTTTCTTCTGGGGTAGGCTAAATGCTTTTATTGTATTTACTGTAAAATGTAAACCTTGATCATAGTTTGATTTGAGAGTTTGATTTATAGATCTTTAAATATAATCTATTATGATATTGTTGCTTTAGGCTCCATGCACAATAGTTTTTTTTTTTAAGCTCCTAGAAGCTGTTTTAAGCATGTTGTTGTTTTTTTTCAGCTTTGGAGCGTTTTTTAACAGCAGAAAAAAGTGCTGATGGCTCCTAAACGCTACTAAAACAATCCTAACAGCTTTTTTTTTTCCCTAGCTGTATTTTTTTTCCTTTTTTACCATGTAAACACTAATAAAACGTTAATGCTTGTGAATGCTACTAAAACACTATTACCAGCGTTTTTCCAGCATTTCTTTAGCTTAAAATGCTGGTGTGCATGGAACCCAAGTTTTGTGAAGAGAGATATGCCGTTCATCAGATTAATTGATTTTTTATAAATCACACATCCAGAATCAACTGTGTCTGTGCACACTAGGTTTGCGCATGCCCCTACTATTTGCAGCTGTGACAGGAAAACAGGAGTGGTTGTTCATTCCTAACTTTATATTCCACATATATTAAGACTTTAAAGCAAACCGATGGATAAAATGTAAATTCATGTTGCTACATTGTATTGCAATTTTTTTTCTATCGTACACCTACTAATCTCAAATCTTGAAGCTTGTAAACTAACTTTGAGAAAATCCCTACACATTTACTTTGTTCTGTAACATGTATTTGCTATGAACTGAACTACAGAGGGAGAGAGAGGGAGGGTTTTTAGGAGACAGCAAGGCGCCATAGGATATGTAGCCCTTAGAAATTGAAACCGGAGAAAGATGGCTAGCAAACAGGCAGCACTCAACATGAAGGAGATTTTTCAAGTAAGCTTATTTTGGATGGTCAAAAATAACTATTGTTTGTATTATTACAGTGCTGATGTTATAATATGAACGTGTATGCTGTGA